TTCTCTCCACTCCCAACCTAACTAAGCTATCTCAACTTTGCTACCATGAAAATTTAAATAACATGGTGAATATTATAGTTAACATACAAGCTTTCTTTTATTCGCATTTAGGCCCTAACTTAAATGGGTTTAGGCCTGATCTATCAAGAATGGATCAACTCATGGTCTAACATCTCCCATGCGTACTTGGTAGATTTATTGTTAGAAGTTGCCTTTTTCTTTTTCTTCTTTCTTTCATATTAATTGCTTTGTCATAACTGTCTAGGCATTATGTCTTTCCAAGATCAACACGTGATAGTCTTCTTCATATAGTTTGATTTCAATATTATATTATGCCATAGATGTTCTAGATCTATTCATATACACTTTCTCACGGCAAATTTAATCCCTCTCAAGCCAATAAAAAACTCAAATTGCCTTAATATCCTTACTTATGAAATTAACAAAATAATATCATAAGAGACTTGTCTCAAATAGCAGCATAGGTGTGTAATTTCAGGTAATCTTCTTTTTGCTCATATGTCATTTCAATATATGCATCAACCACTTAGTATAATGCCTTAGATTGTATCTATTATGATCGTAGGCTACATGTTAAAATAGCAATTATTGAAGCATACCTCCATGATAATGTCAAAGTCAAAAGATATTAACCAAAGTATTATATGTTCTAGGGACTCATATAGCAACGAAATAGGCAACTATTCACTTGTTTCCCTCAAGTTTATCCTCACAAATCCTCATTTGTATACAATTAATTGCATATGACGAATGCCCGGTTGCATATAATGGATGCCTATTTAATATGGGTTTATTGTATAATACGAATGCTAATTGTATGTGACATATACTCACTTAAATATGACATATGCTTACTTGTATATGGATTTATTGTACAATACAAATACTCACTTGTATACGGATGCTTACTTGCATATAGATTTTTATTACATGTTATTACATAATACGGGTATCAATTACATATAACATATGCTTATTCACATATGGGTTCTTATGTTATTACGTAATGCAAATGCTAATTGCATATGCAAATAAGCATGTCATATGATTAGCATCCGTCAAGGCATTGTAATCGTTTTCCATCATACTTATTGACACTTGAGAGCCCCACATCTTTACATTTACCATTCTGCGAGCTTTTAAAACAATTTTTCCTTTTCATGGCATAATGCCATCCGGGTTCAAGTGTAAATTTTAAGACTTTGGACATTACTTTTTATTTTTAATACAAGAGTTAGTTAAATATTGAATTTGATCTTAAATATGGGACCTTAACTTAGCTTGTCTTCCAAATTGATAATTTTTTTCTCTCAAATATTCTTATTGATTGTAAATGATTTCTGTCAAAAAATAATTCCAATACATACAATTAAGATAGTTTAAGAAAGTTAACACATATCTGTTATAAATAACTAACTTAACTAATTTATTTAATATTTTTAAATTAGTTATCTAGCTTTTATATTAAAAATCACTGTTAATAATTGCATGCTGAATCACAAAGATAATTATATACAACTTAGCGTTTAACCCATTTTTTTAGAAAAATGTGTCCTACAAGAAACTGTTGGCAAAGGCAGGGGCAAGTTTTGCTTTGGAACACGTGGAGAATCAAGAAATTAAGTTGAAAAATGGAAACGAATATGCTTTTTTTTTTTTACGTATTTGAAACAGTTTACACTTTAAATCTTGGGGAAATAATCAGATGTGTGTGTGTGTCCATTTGATTTCTTAACGCACAATCATTTATTAAATAGTTTAATTGCCCCTATTATTATATTTAAATTATTTATTATACATATTCAATTTCAATTATGTAGCAAATCAACTTCTCAATATGCACATCAATACAATTCAAATGCATGTTGCTCTGTTTATCAATCTTAACACAAAATTCATCTATTACTATATAAAAGTAGAATATAAAACATAACTTACTGACAGACTGTCACTTGACTTTATCAGAATGTATATAAATGGGTTTTTTTTTCTTTTTTTCTAAAACCAAGATTTTATGTCCAATTCTCTATTTATGCTTTATTCACTACCATAATACATGTTCCTCCTTATTCCCACTACCTATTTCTTTTTGTGGTAGAATCAGTTAGTTATCTCTCATAATGCAGTATTTTTTATTTAAATGGTTTTAGTTGAATTCTTGGGATGTATTATTTATTTATATTTTAGTTGAATTGTTTGCAGATAAATTTTTTATTTTTTATTTTTGTTACAGTCACATTTCTACCCTTGATCTCTCTATTTATGTGTTTCTCTTGGGAATTAGTTCGGTCATATTTATTTGAGTTTCATGTCTCTCTATTTATTTTTGCAAAATAAATGAATTTTGTTAATGGTAGATAAATCTACTTTTTTTTATAATTTTTTATTAATTCAATTAATTCCAATTTATTACAAAATTTATTGCAATTATCTCCAACAATGAGTCTTATTTTTTTCTATTTTTTGTAAAAATCAAAATACCCTTTATATGGAAATATTTTAAATTAAGAAAAACAAATAAAATTATATAACTTCTCTTATCCCGAAAATCATGGCATATATGCGAGGAATGATGTGTGTTCAAAATTTGAAATTTAATGGTATTTTTTAAAATTAATTTTGCTTGAAATTTAATTTCAGCTGGTCTATTAGTATATTGAAAATAATAGCTTACGCTCTAAATCTAAACTATTTGATATAAGGCACGGATATGGATCGGCTAGAAACAAGTTAGGAAACTAGACGAACGATCGAAAGTAGGACCTTAAGAGAACCTGTCTCTTACAACCCTAACCATGGAGACACCATAAGGATGATCAGTCCTTGATACAGTCGAGTATTCCCACGAGAATACGAGGCGGCAAGCAAAGCTCACTCAAGAGAAATAAAATTTTCTAAAATTCATTCATTCAAATCTGATCCCCAATTACAAAAACGTAGCCTTACATAGGCAGCAAAAGAACAATCTAGAATCAAAAAACACTAGGTCATAAATGCCATAAATGTGCCTTAATGATGATTGACTATCTTGGTTGGCACCAATTAAAGCTAAAGGAAATAGGAAATTAGTTTGTCTTGAAGAAAAAGGCTGCTACCTAAAAATAGGAAACTAACCTAAAATATTCTTATGCAATCTTTGACTAAAAGGCCTTATTTAATGCAAATAAAAATAGAAACTTAAAAAAACGAAATTAAACCATAACTAATACATAAAGATGCCTTCTTGATGCTTTTTGAATATTCCTGGACGTCACTTATGCTCCTCCTCCAAGGCACATGCTTGTCACATGGTATTTTGAGTGAATTCTTCAATCTAGACTGCACATGGGCCTTGTACATCATTTTGTTTGGCTTCTAGCAATGTAATAACCATGTTTGGACACTTGATGGGCTGATTGAGGGATGCTTCTTCCAAATAAATGAGCTCTAACTCTTTAAGATCTTTTATCAAATAATTCAGCGCCTCTTTCATAGATTTGGTTCTTGCTCTTGTCATTGGCCTGCAATGTCTTATAATGGGTTTTTTAGAATATTAGACTTCCATCTTTTAGCCTGGGTTCCACGCTCCGTATTTTGGTCTTCCTTGATCATGCCATGCTCCACTATCACTATTATTTATACTTGAAATATTTATTTTTTTATTTATGAATTATTTTGAAATCTAATTCAAGTGAAAAAATTATTTTACTTCTGCTATTTAGAATTAAAATTTATTTAGAATAAAATAAAATGTTAAATTTTAAGGAAAACAATCGATGTCTTTTATGGATTAGCTTAATCAAAAAAATAAAATACAAACTTAAATATATTAGTCGAGATATTTTCTTTAATGCTAGTATGTAATTTTAACAATACGAACTATTCAATTTCCTAATATATTGAATGGTGAACCTATTTTATATTTTATTTGACATATGTCTATTATTAATGATCTCAAATAGTAAATTTTCTAATTATCATTACAATAATCAACACATTTTATGTTTTATATTAAATATCTAATTCAATCTTAACTCCACGGGGTATGCGGATTTCGGGAGGAAACAACCAGTGTGCATATGATGTTTGTGTATGGTGGAGGAGGGTTATGAGAGCTATGATAGTTAGTCAATTATTACAATTATCTAAATAGTTACTCCTCCTTTTCTTTTTTCACATAGATAACTAAGATGACAGGGCTATCACTCTTATATAGTTTATGGCGGTGGCCACGAGACTCCATTTTTGTATTGAATATGGATATTTTGATATTGTTTTGGTAGTTTTATATTATTTTAAGTTTATATTGTCAATTCCTAAAGTTATTGATCATGACAACTAGTTTCAACTTATAGGAGTATATTTTTGTATGGTTTTCAAAATATTTTAACTCACTAACCATTTTGTCTCCATTAATTTTTCTTGTATTAAATAGCCTACTTTTACAATACAGAATCAGATATCATATTTGTCCAACATAATATTATTGATTATGACATTATCTGTTGAATTATTGAATATAATCAAATATTTGAGTTTCAATTCATTAACCCTTTTGTCTCCATTGATTCAATCTTTTTAAAGGAACGTCCATTTATATACCTACACATATAGTATATTTCTAAAAATGTTGATAATGGATCTACCTATACTGCAGATTTCAAAAGTTTAATGATATTTTATTTTAAGTTAAATTAAAATCATGACTTGAAATAGTAATGTAATACTCAACTAATTATTTTGTGGTAATTTAATTTTTTATTTCATATAAAAGAAACCACCAATTCATACCCGTACAATAACACTATGCTAGTTTACCTAAATACCATACAACGAGCTATTTTCAAGAAATTATTAAATTATTAAAAAAAGGATTACATTTAAAGAATGGATTATATAAAATTAAAGAATGATGTTCTTTAAATTTCAGTAAATCTTTTCTCTCTTTTTGTTTTTTTGAGTATCTCGTACCAAAACGGTTGAAGCCGTACCTGTGACGCTCAATCTGGTCAGCCCCGTCTTCTTCAGCTTCATCACCGGCCGTCAGTGGATTTATGCTTTGAGTGAAACTGCTTTCCTCCGAAAAGCGAAGCCTCTGTGTCAATGTCTTCCTTCTTCGGAGTCCTCGTTGGGGAATATGCTTCTAAATTGGTAATTTTTCTTTCTTCTGAATGATTTCCTTCTTCGTTCTCAATTTCTCATCGTCATCTGTGCATGTGCTTGCGTTCTCTGTTCTCAGCGGCTATGATCCCCGCCGTCGGCTCCGATCGGACTCCAACAGCCCACCCTCAACCTAACTTCTTTCCTTTTTGTTCAGTTTCTGGTTTTGTTCAGTTGGTTGATTGAATTTGCTTATTCCACTTCTCAGATTCGATCGGCTTCTGTTTTTTCAAACAAATTTTTTGGTATGGATCTGCCATTGTATCAATCTGTGCTTGAAATTTTTGCCTGATTGTGCTGTTGTTCTGCGTATGAGAACGATGGAGGAGGGGAACACTTGTCCAGGACAAAAGTGTCATTTCGCTTTTACTTTTTTATAAATGTCATTAATTTGCTAAAGAAGAACAGAATAGAATGATTTATAAATAATTTTTTAATTATAATTTACAGACAAAATATCTATTTATAAATAAATTATTCCAAACGAAGTCGAAATGCCCTGGCCCCCAAAAAGCCAACCATACGGTGTCTCTGCTTATAGTGCCAATTCAAGAACATGAACGTTCCGTTCCTAGTGTTGCGCTAAATATGGACTTTTTCCTATTTTCCTAATTTCTACTGTAGGAGTATTTTTTATTGCGTACTGTACTTTCTAAATACAGAAAATTTGAATTCGAATCTAGTCATTGATGTTTTATTTTGATCTCTCCTCCTCCTCCTCCTCTGTTCCCCCCCGGTAAGGTAAGAATGTGAAATGAGTTTATTTGACTTGGGTCAAAGCACTTCTTTTAAGTGAGTGCCAAGCTCCCGTTAGATTTTTATCCATGCGAAAAATGTTGCCAGCTGGGAAAAATTTTTTTGGGGGGGGGGGGGAATCCTGCTGTTCAGCTTAAAAGTAGCAGAGAATTACTTTTACTGTAGTGTTCAGATTAGTTTCTGCTTTTGTAATGAAAAAAGATTTCCAGAGCTCTGATAGTGGTTGGGGTTTTCTCTCTCTTGGGAACTGTGCTGAGAACTTTGTGAGGAATGGCTGATACAGGGCAACGGAAAATACCACCGGATCGCAAATCTGATGAAGATTGCAACGAGAAGAGCAAGAAGAAAAAAGTTGAAGAACCAGTGCAAGCTATAATGGACGATCAAATGGAGGAACGAGCTGAGGAGGAGCACCAGCCAGTGGAAAGAAATAGGACCTTCTCATCATACAAAGCCTCATTAATGGGGTTTAATGGCGTTGCTCATGGTGCTTGCCCAATGGAGGAAGAAGACCTGTTTAACGCGGAAAACGACATCCACTGGAGGTTACCGGAAGAATCGGAAGAGCTTAAAAAACAGATGGAGATATACCCAGTGGTCCCTATAACAGAGGAGGAATTTAACGAGTGGTGCCAACCCTGGAACTATACATTGGTGTTAACAGTTCTAGGAAGGAGATTTAATGTGTATGTTCTGAAAGAATATTTGCGTGTTCTTTGGGGTTTCTCTGAGTTTGAATTAATTGATCTTCCAAACAATTACTTCCTAGTTCGCTTCGCCGAAACCGAACAATGGAGAGCTCGTTATAGAAGAGTCCTATATGATGGCCCGTGGGTGGTCAAGCAACATTGTGTTCTGATACAAAGATGGTCGCCCTACTTCAATCCTTACCAAAATCCTCTAAGAAGAGTCGCTACTTGGGTGAGGATTCCTGATGTACCCATGCACTGTTATAACAGTCACTGCATCACCAGAATAGGTGATCGAATAGGCCGAACGCTGAAGGTTGATATCAATACTCTGAGGGATGGCCTGCACACAAGCGGGACGAAAGTTGAGAGAGGAAAATATGTGAGAATCTGTGTGGAGCTGGATTTGCAGAAGAAGCTGGTATCCCGAGTCATTGTTGCGGGAGAAATCTTTAACGTGGAATATGAAGGCTTGGGGGTGATATGCTTTGCGTGTGGTAGATTCGGTCATAGACGAGAAGCGTGCCCATGGAAAGTAAGCATGGCCACGCCAGAAGCAAATGCTGTAACAACAGAACCGGCAGTGATGGCTCCGATGAGAGTGCCGGCGAAGAGCAACCCTGATACGGACGAGCCATTTGGCGTGTGGATGATTGCCGGAAAATCCTCCAAAGCTCGACTTCCGAGACAAGGAGAGCAGAAGGTAGGGCTGCGCCCTATAGCGGGTCAGACGAGAACAAGGCGGACGGAACAGGCTTTTGCGCACAAATCAAGGTTTTCAATATTTGAAGATTGGGAAGAAGAGGAAAATATGGAAGGAAAATTGCCTGCAGATGCGGGCGGGGAAGCTGTCAATCCTGACACGGAAGGAAAGGCCATTGTCCTGGTTCAGAAAAAGAGAGCTCTGGAAGGGGTGAAGGAAAAAACACGACATACTAGGCAAGAAGTGGGAAGAAAAGAGAATCAAAGGTCAAAAACGGGTTTGAAAATACAAGGGAAAGAGAACGTGCCGCCCTTAAATGGGCCAAGTCTTGGGGCTGGAACAACTAAAAATGGGAGGGTCCAAATGCTGGAGGTGGGCCAAACATCAGGTCAGACGAGTCAACCTAAGGAGAGAAGCCACCGAACCCATAAAGTCATCATGGGCAATGTAGAGAGACAAAACTTTAGAACTAACGAGGCTCAACCAACAAAGTTAGTAACGCGTGAACTGGAAGCCCAAAGTCCCTCATACAATGCCCTGAACCCCATGGCCGAACAGGAAGGAACCGTCCAAGGAGATGCTCTTGACATGATACCAGAAGATAATTTGAATCCGAAACCGCCAGATCCTACGGTGGTACTCCCCGTGAGAGTGGAAGGTAAGGTCCTGGGAAAAGACTCAAAGGTAGTCAATGCGGAACAGGGGCGACCTGATACAGGTGAACGAGGCCATTGACGGCCCACTTTTTCTCATCTGCCATTTCCATGATTATTGCTTCTTGGAACTGTAGGGGAGCTGGTAGCCGGAACTTCCCTATCCTAATAAGAGACATGGTTAAAAAATTTAAAATTGATATTTTCTGTCTCATGGAGCCACGCATAAGTGGAGACAAGGCAGATGGTGTGGTAAGGAAATTAGGATTCACTCATTGGATTAGAATAGAAGCAAATGGGTTTTCAGGGGGAATCTGGATTATGTGGAATGAAGCAGATTTTTCCATTTCGTATATATGCTCTACGGCACAACTCCTACATTGTAGAGTAAGTAACAGAAAGCATCCGAATGGGGTGCTACTTACTACCGTATATGGAGAGACAAGTGTCCGAGGGAGAGTGGTACTTTGGGAGTCCCTCAAAGCGATTGCCAGCACAACTACGGAACCCTGGTTAGTCTTCGGGGACTTTAATGCCTATATGTCCCCAAGAGACAAAGAGGGGGGAGGTAGTCCAAATGAAACAGCCATGAACCACTTCCAAGGGTGCATAGATGACTGTGGTTTGATGGATTGTGAGATAAAGGGAGGGAGGTTCACATGGGAGAGAACGGGCTTAAAGGAGCGACTAGATTGGGTTTTTCAGAACTTACCATGGATGGAAAGCTTCCCGCAAACTCTAGTCTCGCATGAGATAAGATATAAATCTGACCATCGACTCTTGATAATTAAATCGGATACTCAAGAAAATCACAAGAGGGGTCACAGGAGACTTATGTATCAAGCTGCGTGGGAGCTTGAGGGCAGCCTAAATGAGGTCATAGCATCAGCTTGGAATGACAGAACCTGGGTAGAAGGGGTCAAAGTGTTCCACCGAATCACACCAGAATGGCACGACCAGCACATGGGAAATCTGATAGTGAAAAAGAAAGAACTCATCAGAAGATTGGAAGGTGTCGACAAAAAAAGATCAATGTTTGACCATCCAGGACTTACAAGGCTCGAAAAAAAACTATGGGGTCAATATCACAAAATAACATTGCAGGAGGAATTACAATGGTACCAAAGGTCAAGATGTAGATGGCTACAATGGGGAGACAGAAACACCCGGTTTTTCCATGCTGCCACTGTACTTCGACGGAGGAGACAAAGAATAGATGCCCTGAAGAATGATAACGGAGAATGGGTCGAAGAGCCAGAGATTTTAAAGCAGATGGCATGTGACTTCTACAAGACTCTATACACTAAAGATGCAAACACTCAATCTCCATCCGGCTGGTATGCTAATTTCCCCTCTCTAGCCAATCATGAGATAGAATGGCTTCAACGACCAGTGGACTCCACTGAGATCAAAAACGCTGCTTTTGATATGGGGGCTTTTAAGGCCCTTGGGCCAGATGGACTAAATGCACACTTTTTTCAAACACACTGGAATCTGGTGGGAGGAAAAATATGTGAATTAATTAAGAGCTTCTTCGAAGAACCAGCAAGAGTGAAGGACGTTAATCAGACTCGCATTGTCTTGATCCCCAAAGGAGACAATCCAGTGCATCTAAAAGAGTTCAGGCCGATCTCCCTCTGTAATGTTAGCTTCAAAATCCTCACAAAACTTCTTGCTACCCGCTTCAAGAGAGTGATGGATAAATTGGTGAGCCAAGAACAGTGTAGCTTTATATCAGGGCGATCTAGTAGTGATAATGTTATTATAGCCCAAGAAGCCATCCATACCATGAGAACTAGGAGAAGCAAGAAGGGATTAGTGGCGGTGAAAGTGGATATGGAGAAAGCTTACGACAGATTAGACTGGGATTTTATCAAGGACACCTTGGTTTGTATTGGTCTCCCGGGGAATTTGGTAGAAGTCATTATGTCATGTATCTCAACAGCTTCTATGAAGATTCTTTGGAATGGGGAGGAGAGCGCTGAATTCAGGCCATCAAGAGGTTTAAGGCAAGGGGATCCGCTCAGTCCGTACATTTTTGTTCTTGCCATGGAGAGACTTGGACAACTAATTAAGTCAAAATGTGAGGAAAAAAGATGGAAACCGTTGAGATTCAAACGTACAGGACCATGTGTCTCGCATCTGTTTTTCGCGGACGACCTTATACTCTTTGCTGAAGCCTCGACAGATCAGATGATGGTAATTAAGCACGTCATGGAGAGCTTCTGCCTTGCTTCAGGACACCGTGTGAATCTGGAAAAATCAAAAATGCTGTGTTCTCGTGATGTTAATCACAACAGGGCCCTGGAGCTGAGCCAAATCTTGGGTATTGGGCTCACAGCGGATCTGGGAAAATACCTAGGAGTTCCTCTGATACATAGCAAGGTCACTAAACGGATTTTCTCACCTATTACCCAAAAGGTGCAAAAGAAGCTCTCATCATGGAAAAGCCGGTATCTAAGCTATGCGGGAAGGTCAGTTCTCATAAAGGCGGTGCTGAATGCCATCCCTAGCTACCAGATGCAGACATATCTCCTCCCGAAAGGTGTGATAGAGGACATAGAAAAGGCAAGTAGGAGTTTCTTGTGGAGTCAGGATACAGGAAATAGGCGAAGCCATTTGGTATCATGGGACACGATCACTGAAAAGAAGAACAGTGGGGGACTGGGTTTCAAGAATCTACGCCAACAAAATGAAGCGTTTATTATGAAGTTGTGTTGGAGCTTAATCACCAAAAGAGATGCCCTTTGGACCCGGGTCCTCAGAAGCAAATATAGATGCGGGAATGATGAAGTCCCCGGAGTTTATTACAAGAGAGTAGCCTCGATTATCTGGAGGTCCATAGTTAAGGTGTGGGAGAAGTTTATTCAAGGCGTGGGGAAGAAAATTAACAGTGGAAGAAATACTGACTTTTGGTGGGATTTGTGGACCCCATTGGACCGTCCCCTCATAGCATATACAAATGGATGTTCAGGGCTGGATATCAGAGCAAAAGTCAAGGACTTCACCCTCGAAAATGACACCTGGGCGGTGCATAAGTGGCAGGGAATATTACCAGCCAGCATCATATCGATCCTCCTGCGTATTAAACCACCCTCAGATAATTCCAAGGATGTGTTCATATGGAGACCTGCTACGGATGGGAACTTTTCTGTCAAGTCAGCGTATGGATTTATAAGTCAGAGACAGGTGTCGTCGAGGGATTGTTGGTGGTCTAAACTCTGGAAGTGCCGTGTATCAGAAAGAGTAAAATTCTTCTTATGGCAAGTTTCTCATGAGAGAATAGCCACTAACCAATTCAGAGCTCAAAGAGGGATCTCAAGCACATCAATTTGTCCTTTTAATTGCCAAAGTGAGGAGAGCGTTATACATGTTTTGAGGGACTGTGAGAGAGCGAAAAACTTCTGGCTATCTTTAATTCAACCTAACTTTGTTACTAGATTTTATGCTCTTAATTTGCAGGAATGGCTTTCTTGGAATGCTACACAAAGTCCAGCTAACGCGAAATTTTCAAAGTGGGATTGGCTTCAAGTGTTCATGCTTGGATGCTGGTTCCTCTGGACTTCCAGGTGCGCGTATGTCTTCGATGGCAAAACAAAGAACACCAGGGAACTGATCCAGAGGTGCACATACCACTTGATGGAAGGCGTGACAAATCAGCAATTTAAACATGACATTTTCAATGTATCCTCTAAATCGGAAACCAAATGGACCCCACCTCCAAGAGACGCCATTAGAGTAGATGTGGATGGCTCTGTACGGGAATATCAGGCGGCTGCTTGTGGGGGAGTGATTAGAGATCACGAAGGGAGTTGGCTCATGGGATTTCAACGTAGCCTGGGTTGCTGCTCTGTTACGGAAGCCGAATTAATGGCTATCCAGACGGGCTTAAAAACATGTCAGCAGATGGGATTTTCCAGGATTATGCTTTACACGGACTCACTAGAAGCTTTCAATCTGCTGATGCGAAACCATGCTGAAGAACATCCTTTGAGAAACCTCATCATAGATACCCGAGAGCTGATCTATGGGAATTGGTCCGTAGAAATGCACCATACTGGTAGAGAAATTATTAAGTGTGCTGATTTTCTAGCTAGGACAGGACACCATGACTCTTTTGATACGATATTATTACAAGATGTGCCGGCGGGATGCGCGGGGATAGTGTCTGATGACCAGCTTAGTGTCGAAGCTTGGAGCTAGTTGCTCCGTCTTCGGGGTTTTCTTTCGGGTCTTGTTTTCCTTTTAGTTTCCGGTGTTTTGTGTTTCAAGCCTCGGCTTGTCTCTTTTCTCCAAAAAAAAAAAAAAAAGATTTCCATATGCCTTTTTTTTTCTGGTGCAAAAAGATTTTATATCTTAACTTTTTATATATGATTATTGATATTCTTACAAAATTCAAAAAAAAATTGAAATCTAACAATTTAAAGCAGTTCTCTTCTCTCAAAAAAAAAAAAAAAGCAGCTAATAGAGAAAAGTTTCCTTAGAAAGGAAGTATCGTGCTATATTCGGAATATGAATGTTTAGTAATGATACACCAGATATGGATGTGAAGTGTGATTCTCTGTTTGCCCAATTTTCTCTGTGTTTTTTTCCCCCTTAAATGCCAACTCTAGAAATACAGAGAATTCAATTCAAACATATTAATTTCTTTCTCTTGTTTGGCAGCGAATACCTCCCCTGTTTGTCTCCAGATTTTCTAGTCTTGCACCAAAAACAGCAACACTTATTTATTCTTCAAAAAGATCATGGACGGTTGATATTGAGGAAGAAGATAACAAAAAATTGTATTTCAAAAGAGGTTGGAATACATTTGTAGAAGACAATGCTTTAGAAACTGGGGAGTTCATAGTTTTCAAATTTGATGGGGATTCAAGATTTAAAGCCAACATCTACGGAAAATCTTACCTCAAAAGAAAATCCTCAATGTCAGTGTCTTCTTTCTTCAAAGTCCTCGTCAATGGCGAGTCCACTACTAAATTGGTAATTTTCTTTTTTCCTCACTGGTGTTTGCTTATTTCCACAGCTGAAAAATCCCTCTAAATCTTTTTTCCCCCTTAATTGCAGAGAATCCCTTTATTGTTTGTCTCCAGATATTCTACTCTGGTCCCAAAAACAGTAACATTTATCAGAGCTTCTTCAAACAGATCATGGAAGGTTGATATTGTGGAAGAAGATGACAAAAGGTTATATTATAAGACTGGCTGGAGTGAATTTGTAGAAGATAATGCTTTGGAAATTGCACATTTTTTAGTTTTCAAGTTTGATGGGGATTCAACATTTCGAGTTAAGATCTATGGAAGCTCTGCTTGTGAGAAGGAACTTGAGAATCAGCCATGTGTCAATCAGAAATACTGCATACAGTATTATAATAAACAAACAACAACTCTAGATCATCAAGAAAATCTGAAAGAAAGTGATCCCATCGATGTAGATCGACAAAAGTCGAAGCCAAATGTTGAGATAACAGAGGAGAGGGTTGATCATGATGATCGTCATGAAAATTCTAACCAAGAAACTGGGGCTCCGCAGAAAGAAGCTGAAGAACAAAGTGACGAAACTATTGCTGTTCAATCCGAATCTCATTGCCCTCTCAAGAAAACTGGTAAGCTAATGAAAACGATAGCTCCCATTGATAATCTTGTTCAAAATCATAATGTTTTTACTCGGAACTTACTTCTAATTACAGAACTAGTAAGAACTATAGTTGTCACTAGAACAAGTTCCTTTTCCGTTCAAATTATTGTGGAGTAGTTTTTTTATTCTTTGAAGTCTGTACAGCAATTATGAAATCAGGCTTTTTGTTAATTTCTATTTAATTCATTATAAGGTCTAAATCTTAGCTTATATTTTGATTAATTTGGGGCAGGCAACAAGCATGATGGACCAATGCGTAAAGCATCATCTAGTAAAGGCCTCAGTTTGGAGTCTAAGAAGAATCCTTCATTCAAAATTCTTCTGCAACAAGCCTATGCAGAAAAGGGTGTCATGGTAGGTTTTTCTGATCACCCCAATTGATTTATTTTCCTGACTTAATGCCTTTGACAACAACAAAATGAATCGTGTCGAGTAGTGATAATTATATATGCATTTATCATCCTACCAGACATTGGTGTAGTCTGGTTATGAATATGATGATGCCTTCTTGTTTCTGATGTCACATGCTTGCATATATCAAACAAAATTTGGTTTCATGTTTTTACTTTTTAGTTCATACTTAGTTTCCATGTTGTATATATGTATGTATGTTAAGATTACTGATGAGGTGATATTTGGATTAATTAATGTGCCTGAGGAACTTGTGCAGTGCTTTCCAACAGAGTTTTTCCAGAAGCATATGAAAAACCAGAGACAAGAGGTAGAGATTGAGACAGTAGAAGGAGTATGGACTGTGACATTACTCCCCCATATGAAAAGGACAAGGACATTTGCCAGATTAAGCAAAGGTTGGTCAGAGTTCGCCAAAGCGAACCGTTTCAAAACTGGAGAGACTCTCTTGTTTAAAATGATCCGAAAAGGTGATCGTCCCAAGTTTATTGTTGACAGGCAACGATGTTAAGAGTGTAAGAGATCCATGTAGCACCAAAAATTTTTCCTGATAGGTCATGTAAATGGTAGGCTTAATTAAGAAAGTTTCTCACGATAGGTAATGTAAATGGTAGAATAAGTGTGTCATGCTGAGGATCTTTCACTTGCCTTTTTGTAAACTCCTATGAAATGGATTTGGAAATAGTGAAGCATCTTTTTGTATTTGTGTGTGGATCCTGGGTATGATCTGAAATGTAGGGAAACATGTTTTAATCAAATGTCTCCTTAATTTGTGATGCAACATCTTTTTGTTTGTTTCTTTATTGACAAGAGTAGGAATGTCTTTAATTCAAGCTGGACGTTTCTCTTATTTCTAAGATAAGTTGTGTGCATTTTATGCCACTCAGACCAAAAATTCAGAGGTTATTAAATAATGTAAGAGATTGTCAACATAAAAACTAGTTAAAAGATTAAATTTGCTTCTAAACATAAATTTAAAAAACAAAAGTAGATTGAAATTTTATATCTAGAATTAAATCAACTATCCAATTAGTTCTTATATTAAGTACAGGCTGCTAACTAACCTCCACAAATATTGAAGGGAGAATTACAATGAGATCTCAAAAAAAATTATAAAATAAGTCCCAAAAAATGTTATTCACATTATAAAACTTGTCATTATAGGCTAGTTAAGCTGTTATTGAGACTTTTTAGTAATTTTTTTTTTCTTGAGATCTTGTTATAATTCTCCTAATATTGAGTGCTGCCAATTGAATAATGATCCCATGTGGCTGTAATAAAGTATGGTATGAACTGAAATGTGTAGAAAAGAAAAGGAATGAAATGGGAATAGAGAGGGGAGAGCATTGACCAGAAAGTTGATTTCTAAGGACACATTAAAAAATTAGTTAAAATAGTTATTTGTAACAAATATATATATTAATTTTAAGCCTGGCAGGGAAATTAATAGAGACAGAGAATACATCAATTGCGCAAGCCCCTCTGTGGGAAGCTATGGAGGATGAACCAGGAAAGAATCTCTCGGGGACCAGTATATCTGGAAGTGTGCAACGCAAGGGCATCTCGTGTGAAGGTAAACCACCCGATCAATAAGGTGATTGTTATTGTTTGGGGGTCTTTCCTTTTTGTCTTTAATGATTATCTCTTCCTGGAATTGTCGTGGGGCAGCTGGTAGAGCCTTTCCACGTATTTTTAAAGATATTGTAAGGAAGTATAGTATCAATGTCATGGGATTATTTGAAACTAGAATAAGTGGAGTTAAAGCAGAGAAAGTGATACGCCGATTGGGATTTAATAACTGGATCAGGGTTGAAGCCACTGGCTACGCAGGAGGAATATGGGTCCTATGGAACGAGGAGGAAGTATCTGTTGAATATATTTATTCTAACACGCAATTGCTCCATTGCAAACTCACGGACATTTCTTCGGGCGAGGTAATATTCTCCACTTTTGTTTATGGCGACACCACAATATGCAAAAGAAGAATGCTATGGGAGTCCCTAAAAAAGATTGCGGAGAGTGTCAACGGGGCCTGGACTGTATTGGGTGATTTTAATGCTTTTTTGGAGCCTGGGGACAAGTTAGGGGGCACACCACCAGTTAGGCAGATGATGGAATCCTTCCAATCCTGTGTGAACCACTGTGAACTATTGGAGATACCAGTAGTAGGGGACCGTTTCACGTGGGAAAGAGAAAGAGTCAGAGAAAGATTGGACTGGGCCTTTTGTAATTCAGACTGGGAGCTAACACACCCTCACTTCAAAGTCTACCACCAGCTACGCTTCAAGTCTGATCATAGAGTTTTGGTGCTGGCCGGAGAGAAAATTGACAGCTTTCAAAACTCAAGGAAAACCTTTAAATATCAGGCAGCGTGGTGCCTTGAATCTGATTTCAAAGAGCTAGTCAAGGCAACTTGGGAAGGGAAGAACTGGAATGAAGGCAGAATTTCCTTTGAAAATAAGGTTTCTGAGTGGAATGAGAAAGTGGTTGGTAACATCCCTAAAAAGAAGAAGGAGGTTCTGAGGAGGCTGGAGGGAATTGATAGGGTTCGGCAGCAAAATACCAGTAATGGTCTATTCAAACTAGAAAAAAAGTTGTGGAGGGAGTTGTGGAAACTTACCACGCAAGAGGAGCTAATTTGGTACCAAAAATCAAGATGCCAGTGGCTCAAATTTGGAGATAAAAATTCGAGATTCTTCCATGCTACCACTGTGATGAAAAGAAAGAGATCTAAGGTTGAATCATTGCAGGATGAAAATGGAATTTGGCAGTCTGATCAGAAAATTCTAAGTCAAATGGCCCGTGATTTCTTCAAAGCTCTTTACACAAAGGACCCGTATGTCAAGAAGGTAGATAACTGGCCAGCTGGGTTTCCCTCCCTTACCCTAGAACAGATTGAATTCATTCAGCGTGAAGTGACAGAAATAGAAATAAAGACAGCGGCTTTTGACATGGGTGCTTTCAAAGCACCAGGACCGGATGGGTTACAACCTCACTTCTTCCAATCACAATGGCAAGAGATAGGATCAAAAGTTTGTGAGCTGATTGCAAACCTCTTTAAAGATCCGACAGGATTAAATGATATTAACCACACTAATATTGTGCTGATTCCCAAAGTTGATCATCCGACTGAACTCAAGGATTTCAGACCCATTTCACTGTGCAATGTTTGCTTCAAAATCCTTAGTAAAGTACTGGCAAACCGACTGAAAGGAGTCATGGATTTATTGATTCAACCAAACCAGTGCAGCTTCATCAGTGGGCGGCATAGTAGCGATAACATCATTATTGCTCAAGAGGTAATTCATACCATGAGGTCGAAGAGGAGTGGGCAAGGATTTGTAGCGATCAAAGTTGATATGGAAAAAGCGTATGATAGACTTGACTGGCAGTTTCTAGAATTTACACTCTGCAGTTTGGGCCTAAGTGGCAGTTTTGTCAACTTGATTATGAAGTGTGTTTCCTCAGCTTCCATGAGAGTATTATGGAATGGCATACCCACTGAAACGTTCTTCCCAACAAGGGGGGTGAGACAAGGTGACCCCCTAAGTCCGTACCTTTTTGTAATCTGTATGGAAAGATTAGGCCAACTGATAAATACTGAAGTACAAGAGGGGCGGTGGAAACCCATCTCGCTGTGCAGCGGGGGACCTAAACTAACGCACTTGTTCTTCGCAGATGACCTGGTCTTATTCAGTGAAGCCTCTCAAGCCCAAATGGAAGAGATAAGAAATACTATGAGTTTCTTCTGTGAAGTGTCAGGACATAAGATAAACCTTCAGAAATCCAGAATGTTTGTCTCCAGGAATGTCCACTCAAGTCGAGCGAACTCCCTCAGTCATTGGTTGGGAATTAAACTAACTGCAGACCTTGGAAGATACCTAGGGGTTCCTTTACTGCATAAGAGAATGATGAAGGTAACCTTTGCACCGATTGTTCAAAAGGTTAGAAAGAAGCTTGCTAGCTGGAAGGGAAAGTACTTAAGCATGGCAGGTAGAGTAGTTCTGATAAAATCTGTCCTATCTGCTCTCCCTTACTACCAGATGCAGTCAACATTACTGCCAAAAGGAGTCTTGGCAGAAATTGAGAAGCTGTGTAGGGACTTCTTTTGGAATCATTCAGCTGATGCGAGAAAGTTGCATTTGATAGCTTGGGATACCATTAAAAGTGATAAACAGACGGGGGGATTGGGAGTTAAAGATCTGCACTTCCAAAACACGGCGTTTATCCTGAAATTATGCTGGGGTCTCCTAACCAAGCCAAACGCTATGTGGGTAAAAATTTTGAAAGCCAAGTATAATTGTGGCTGCGAAGACTGGCCAAAGGTAGTGGCCAAAGGGAATCAATCAGCAGTATGGAGGAGTATTACTACAGTTTGGGAAGCTTTTTCAAAGGGTGTGGGGAAGAAAATCAGGAGTGGATCAAACACTAAAGCATGGCAGGAAACTTGGGCCCCACTCGATTTACCACTCAAAGAGTATGTGATCAAAAACCACCAATCCCTCGATATGGAGGCTAAGGTTAGCCAGTTTATGCGGCAAAGGGGGGAGTGGAATTTAAGAAAATGGAGCGTTTTCTTACCTCAGTGGGTAGTAGATAAAATCCAGAATATACCACCCCCAGCTTGTGAAGGACCAGATGTCTTTTACTGGAGGAAGAGCTCAGACGGCACTTTTAGCATAAAGTCAGCTTACAATTGGGTGTCAACTCAGAATATTAGACCAAAGAATTCTCACTGGAATTTTGTCTGGAAACAGGACATCCCGGAGCGAGTGAAAGTTTTTATGTGGCAGTTGTTTCATGAGAGACTACCAACTAATCTTGCCAGAGCTAAACACTGCAATACTACCGTTCCTGAGTGCCCCTTTGAGTGCCTTTGTGAGGAAACACTGCTTCACACCCTGAGAGACTGTGAAAATGCCAATGGAGTGTGGTCTGCTTTCATTAACCCTGTTTATTGTGTTGGTTTTTTTAGTGGTAATTTTCAGGATTGGCTGCGGTGGAACTTAGAGAATGAACCAGGTTCAAGACAAATATCAAAGTGGAGGTGGTTTAGAGTATTTTCTCTAATCTGCTGGATGATATGGAAAAATCGGTGCAAGAAGGCGTTTAATGAAGATCACGTATCACCCAGGGAATTGATTAACCATTGTCTACACATGCTCATGGAAGAAGTGGAGAACAACCAACTTAAACATCAGATATTCCAAACAAATGTGGAAGCAGATGATACATGGACCCCACCACCACCATCCTTTGTCAGAGTGGATGTGGATGGCTCTGTGACTGACCAGAATCAAGCGGCATGTGGAGGGATCCTGCGGGATGAAGACGGGAATTGGTTATCAGGCTTTCAACAGAATTTGGGACCAGTGGGTTCGACAATTGCTGAACTATTGGCGATTAGAGCGGGACTAGTTGTATGTAAAAAGCTAAACCTCTCAAAGATCAAGCTGTACATAGATTCGAGAGAGGCGTTATACCTTCTCCAGCATGGAGGTGGAACTTCACATCCATTTAAGGAGGAAATCGATGAAACAAGGTCCATTATCTTCTCAAACTGGAATCTGGAAATATCATACGCCTGTAGGGAATCGCTGCGATGCGCGGACTACCTAGCGAGGAAGGCTCACAAAGTTTCTATGGAGCTGGTTCAGGTTCAAAATCCCCCAAGATTTTGTGTTCACCAAATGCAACAGGACGCTGAGTTTTGTCTCAGGACGCACCTGACTTAGGCGGATCCTTTTTTGTTGTTGTTGTACTTCAAGCTCTCGCTTG